GATCATTCTTTCCGCTTCCCACCTGAGAAATTCTGAGAGAAGTGTGTCAAAACCAGGTCTACACATGACTTTTTTAAAGATGGGAACTGGAAACCACCTCTCCCACCATCTTGGGGAAATAGTCCACCTCTTGCCTCAGACATACACGTAAAGCTGTCAGGTATTTTGAGTTTCGTGGTCTATTCCCCCTCTTCTAGCAAAAAAGCTAAATGTTCATTATGCTGTTTTTCAAACGGCTTAACGGACCCCTTCCCATTTACAGTTTCCCAAAAACATCAGAAAGTTATCATTCTCCTCCTCACTGTGCCAGAGAAAATTTATGAAGTCCGAAAAGACGGTTGCATGCGAAACAACCAGTTCAGCACAGGGGGACTGGGCTGGGGGAGAGGTTCTGTCATCGTACCCACACAGATTTTAGAACACCTCTCACAAATACAGTCCCATCACAGAATCACTTACCAGTGCAAAGGAACGATCAAGCTGGTTTCTGGCTCCTAAATTCAGGAAGGGCCTTATACTTGAGAATACCAATTGGACACATTTCTATATAGAATTAGTATTTAAAGTATATTTGTCCCGACCTCCCTCCCAAGGCATTTCTTAACAGGTGCAATGGAGAAATGCAGACAGAGCTTACCCTGTTCACTCCTGTCCTGTGGCAGGGCTGGAGGCTGAAAAACTGAACAGGGCTGGAGAGCTGCTCAGCTCAGCACTGCAACACAGACCTCCCTCTGTGCATCCAGCTACAAATCACCACACTAATGGAAAAAAGTTTCACCTGAACTTTCAACAGCCATTCTGGAAGGTGCCAACCTTGCAGTTACCAAGGCAAAACTGTCCAGGTGGCCCCTGGGTCACTAAACAGTGCTTGTGAACTCACAGGCCCAGTTACAAAATGAGCCAAGCCGAGCTGGTTCCCATTCACACCAGGCACACCTGCACCTGCACTAACAAGGGATTACTTTCAGGCAAGGCAATACACTAATTATCCTGTTTAATAAAAAAATTGTAGTCTGCCAACTCAGCAAGGTAATGGCCTATTTTGTTTCTGTTTCAAAGGCCCTTAAGAAGATATACACTATTTAATTTTACTGGAGTAGAGGGATGAAAAGGCAGTGCTCTGCATATAGAATGATGCTGAAAATGATGCACAGTCTTCAAGTTTGAGGGAAATTGGATTCTCATATCTATTTTCAGAGGCACACAAGAAAACATAATTTGTTCACCTGACAAAAAGAGAGCCAACTGCCTTTATTTGGCAACCAGCTTATAAAATATGAGAAAATTAAAAAAAAATCAAGAAGACAAAAAGTGCATCAAAACAAAGACTGAAATTCCCATATCTCAGCATATATTTATAGGGTACAAACTATATGCACGCAGAGGCTTCACAGTTACATAAACTACAGGCACTGGGAATACAACAGTCAGAGCTGCAGAACGTTTGGAAAACTGAAACAGTGGTATCTGTGGGGCCAGGGACAAGAAGATTACCCATCCTAATCTATCATCTAAGATTTTCAGGTCTTGCCACTTGAGTTCTTGTTTGAATTAGACCATCTCTTGCTAATGCAGCTGCCCTTCAGTCTGTAGCTTTTAATAAGCCTACTGAAGCTGAAGCTTGAATTAGTTCTTTGCTGTCAAGAAACTGCCTTACTTGCATTATGAATTTACCAAACTTCTAATTACTGAATCTTGAACATTTCTCTCACAGCTTGACATACCCTATTAGCCAGTTTCTGTTCGCATTCAAATTAATTTAGCCTGATCAAGTTATCCTACGAGGCGGTCTAAAACTACAACAGCAAGCCCATAAGATGTTGAATGGAATTCAGAGATCCATAGGAACACAGAAGCCCAAATAACATCAGTTGAAGCACAAAGCTCATTTGAAAAGCAGACAGTAATCCTTTCCCTATTCCCTAACAGCATCAGAGGAAGCAGAAGTCAGTTCCACACCGGTTGGTAGTTTTCACCCCACTGCAAATTCACAGCTGATGGACTACCAGAAAAGTGAAACACTGACTTGTCTCAGCCTCAGTCCTCACCAGCAGATGGTGTAGGAAATACTAAGAGCACTGTCCTGGGGAGCACACTGCTCACCCACTGCCAGCTGCTTCACAAAGAAGATGGCATAAGAATCTCAGTCAAATTAAATCTGCTGAGACTTTACTCTTAAAAAAAAAATAAATCAATGCTTGACAAGCACTTACTAGCTATGCATGACCGGTCTTTTTCAGAAGCATCATTGCTATTGTTAAAGTTTCCTCATTTATTTTTTCTGAAAGTTTATATTGCATTCCATGTATCAGAACTAATACCTTGTTCAGCAGCAGTTTTGGGAGCTGTCCAGAGAATGGAACAATGCTGAAATTTCAACTAAGTTAGGAAGTAATGCTGAGACCATTGCTGCAGGGTCCCAGGAGGTGGTACAGACCATATGCACGTGGCCTGAGGCAAAGACCCAACTGTTGATATTTTCTCCTTCACCCACTGAAGCCTTTCAGCCACAGCAGCTCACAGATGATGCTGCACCAGCCACAGTCCATAATCTCTTCTTACAGACCCCCTACTACAGATCTCGGCAGCACAGACCACTGTGCTGGATGAGATCTGGACAGATAATTACCAATCACACCCAACTACTCCAACACAAATCTCATAATGGCAGTTTCTACATTACCACTAATAGTGGTTGTGCCAAGGTTCTTTCCAACTGTTTTTCCTTTATTCCTAGGTAAGTCACGTAAAGAAAGCAGGATTTACACTGCCCGAGGACCCCATCATGGCCTACCACTGGCATTTCCTTATCAATAAAAAAGTGCTACACGAGTTCATGAAATCCATTTAAATGAGTACCTCTGATCATATCTTAAGACATACTGACATGCTGCATCCCACAAAACTTCATCCACTGAATGGCCTTGGTGGTCACAGGGAATCACTGAAAATCCCATCTATGTTAGTTACCATTTTCCTATTTATTACTTGGGAAATTATTTAGAAATTTCAGGTAAGAATAATTTTTACTGGGTGGAACTGCTTCTGAATACAAGTTACCCAGAACTATATCCACACTGTTATTTTTTCTATGTTTTGGGACCGGCAGGCAGGACTGAGGCAGGCATTGGACAATGTCTAGAAGAAACATGCCTGGATAGCTCTGACTCACATCTGCAATATCCTAAAGCAACAGCAGCTTCTTTCACAGGCTAAAGGAGAGAGTTACGTACCGGTAATTCTACACAAAAGCATCCATGATGCCAATGAACTAAGCACTAAAAGAGAAATGCTCGATCTGGTCAGAAGAGGCTGCAAGCATTTTTGTCTAGGGAGAAGAAAACTGATCACTTCTGCCCCAGCTACAGAATGGCCTCGGGCCACAGCAAGAGCTGGAAACTGCTGTGTCCACCTCGTGGGCCCCGCGTGGCTGCGAAGGGACGTGTGTGAGCAGCTGCTGAGTGAGACAGCAGAGACTCCAGCCAGCTCAGGACATCACTGACCACCGAGGAGCCCTGCAGCAGAAAGCTTCCAGGGAGGGACAGTCATACAGTAAAAGCACAGAGAGCCACCTGACAGGATGCACTTCACTGAGACGCAAAAACCATCTTTTAAAGATCTTCTTGTTTATAAATATCAGTGACCCATTTTGGGAAGAAAGCAAGAATGTTTAAGCAGCATTATAGGGCTGAAAGGCTTTCCTTCTGCATGAACAGAAGGCATTGCAGTAGTTTCCCTGCATTTCTCTAAGGATGTACAGCAATTTACCCGAGAACTCAACCTGCCTTTCTCACTAAACTGGCCATCAGTGATGCCCAATGCAAAGTTCTCCCCTCAATCACAGGAGAATTTTTCCATGGCAAAATGGAAGACATTTAACCAAAGACCTCACAGGAACTACTGCTTCCATTTTCAGCACCTAAGTCATAAAAAGCATGGAAAGCCTGGAGAGAACACTGTTCCTACAGGAATTTTGCTGTTTGAACGTTCCTTCACAATTTATCCAAGCTACATCTCCAATCAGATCAGAAAGCAAGACACAATGGCCTACAAAACATCATGAAGTTTAGCAAAGATCAATGCCTTGAGAACAAAATACCTAAAACCCAACTTTAACACAGAACTCCAAATACTCAGAAGCTTTTTAATCCTGCTATTTAATGCACTAGATATAACAACTTATTAAAAAAAAAAAAAACACAAGCATGAACGCATTAACAGTAACATCTGTAGTCAGTTACCAGACCACTCAGGGCTGGATCAAAATTCTCAGCTTGCCTTATGGATTAGATGTATACAAGGCTGCAGTGACTTCAGAAAATTCAGTGCATATCTCCTTTCATGAACACAGGACGAAAAAACACACACACACACACCCTGGGCTGCCACATTTGACCCCTTTATAAAAGGAAAAGCAGAATAAATGCACCTGGAGACTGGACACCCAGACTGACTGTTTTCAGCGCTTCCACAAGACTTGAGTCATGTTTTATGGCATTTATCCATGCTACCAGAAACAGCTGTTGCACATGTGGGGAAACCATCACACACTATGGCAGTAAGACTGGACAAGAAGTAATATTTGCATGAGTAGAGATTTACTGCTATGATAACACTGGACCCCGAAGCCAGGCCACACACAAGTGGGAAATGCATCAGGAAACAGGTCTTTGAAAACAGAGACCAGAGAGAGAGAACCTGGATGCAGGTAAACATAAAACCCTAAAATAAAGGCCTGTGACTGAATACATGGAAGCGATGACATTTTCTGGTGCAGGTGAAAATTCACTCAGAGTTTCTCAAAGGAAATCTCTCCCATCAGAACTCTAGCTCCATAATTGAGAGCAATGCATTTGTAAGTTTATCTGGAAAACAGAAAGCTCAGCATTGCTCAAAATCAAGGCAATACTTTCAGGCCAGCAAAATTAATCTTATATCATGCCTGTCCATTCAACTATTTTTGCAGCTTAGAAATAAGAAAACTAATAGCAGCTGAAAAACTCTGAACTCAGTATCTGTATGAATAACCTGACAGCTCTTTATGGAGTGGTGGAAGGAGAATGGAGGAAGATGTTCTACCAAAACCGAAATGATGACCCATTGCAGGGATGCTTTTTTTAGAAAGAATCTCTTTTCAAGAAGAATTGAAGTTATTGGAATATTCATGTTATCCACCATCAGCCCTGACCCTCTCAATCCGAGCAAGAAGCGAGGGAGACAGGGACAGTTTGTGAAGCTCAGCAGTTAGTGGGTGAGACACAGGGTACAGTCCTGAGGGACCATTTCTGTTGGTAGTGCATGAAGTTTTTCACATATTGGTGCTCATCCTGGATTGGCTGTTAGCTGGAGTGAGCTCCCCTTGGCTGCCTTCTCTCGGAGGAGACTGCAACAAGAGCAAAACACATCCTAATTAGTGATGTGCAAATATCCCACACCCTGCTTCCTGAGAGACAAATGGAGGCACAGGTGAAGCACAGCAGGATGGCAGCAGGGGGAGAGCGTACGCCTAGTTGATAAATAACGACAGCTTTGTGTTTACAACTTCTACAGTTCACAAGAACTTTTCCTAAAAAAGTCAAACCAGAACTTTTAAGCCTATTTACTATATACAAGGTGCTGTTGGCCCCAGTTTAATCCTATCTGCCATTCAGTTATCACAGGTATTAATATACTATAAAAATGAAAACATTCTGTGCAGATGGCCTATCCTCCCTAAGGGCATCCTTTTGGAACTGCAACCTGGAAGCAATGTTCCTAAAAATTAGTGCATTTTTTACATCATCTGTTAACAAAGTTACTTCAAATTGTTGATAAGATAAAAGGTATGTCTATCAAGAATTAGACAAAAGGAATTAGTCAGAATTAAGCCAACCATATAAACTTCAAAGGACATTCTGAGTTGTACAAGAGGTTAATGTATTGGCTAGAAACACTTGTTCCTTATATATTTCCTTAAATATTTACTATTTGCTATTTTAAGAATTTATCCAATCATGAACACATAAAATTAATTCCCCTCCAGAATCTTCAATTAATCAACTTTTATATTTTTAGTTAAAAAAAAAATGAAAACCTTAACAGTGTCTCTAAGTGCCCTTTTGCCACGGCCATACCTTGACGTGTATCTGGTTGCGCAGGACGGCCGCGCGCAGGATCATGGCCTTGGCGCGGCGCTGGAACTCTTTGCCCATTAGTAAGGATTTCTCAAAAGTTGTGCTGCGCTGATCAACATCTCGAGCATAAAGAATCTGTAACCAACACAGAGAACTGTACACGGGAGCCGTGCCAGGGTTCCACAGCAGGAAGCTCTCTTTGCACCAGGGAACACAGCTCAGGCTTTATGGAGCCTGAGTTTGCAAACAGCTCACCCCTGCTGAACACACCAGTCCTGACACATGAATGCACCTTCCAAGTGTCTCAGGAATGGCAAGTTTCTAATCTTAGTAAAGCTGTTCAGTCCATAACACACGACTGAAATGCACTCACCTTACTGTGCGAGTCTATTCTGGCATTGATCAGTCCCTCCAGAATCAGTTGAGTGAGTTCATCTTCCAGAGCAGCCACTGTGGTGTTAAAAGCAGTGGCCATCTTGCGCATGTCTGCCGACACATAGGGACTGAAGTACTAAGAAGAAGAAAATACTCAGTTGCCAAGAGTACTCTCCATCCTCTGAAAAATCAGGGGGAAAAAATTGCAAAGAGATGGCCTATCTCCCTGTTCATCCACCTCTCGAGATGACAGGAACAATTACCTGGATAAGGGCACGATTTCGAATCTGGGTATAGAGTGTCCTGACATGAGGTGCAAGATACATATCCAGCAGCAGGTTGTCCTGTGCAAAACAATAAAACACATCAGAAGCTGAGAAGCAACCTGGAAAAATATATTATTCCCATTTTCTGAAACATTTATGTGTATATACTTAAACCTTAAGGATATTACACTACTGCAAAGCAATATGATAAAACAAGAATGAATAAAAGAACTAGCAATATATTTAGAACCTTTATCATTTCTGTCACCCTCTACCAACAAAGTGCTCCCAATTTCCATTCACCATGTCAGGAAACAGAAGACACAGAAGAGCCGAACACCCTAAGAAGCTACTTTTGCCAATCACTGCTTCTCACAAAAGGCTAGGCAAAGGGAACTTTTAGGGTCTGTTCTACACTGCTCTCCTACAACTCACCTTCATCTCATCCAGCATCTTCAGGCATGAAGCATATTTAGATTCATAAAACTTGAAAATGATGTCACGAACCTGTGGCTCCAGCTCCAAAAACAATTTGAAGGAGCTACAGATAAAGATGGCAGTGATCAGACATTAGAACCCATCACTTAAATACCCCATAACCTCATCAATCCAAGTTGTAAGGCTACAAACTCTCACTATCATTTAAAGATTCCAATAATTTGCTCTCTAACGGACCAGACAGCCCAATTTCAGCACAGCTGGGAGCCTACAACACAGAGAAAGGCAGTACAGCATCAGAGCTGTGGTGAAGGAAGGCAAGAGATTTTTGTCAAACTAAGTAGTACAAGTGTTTGTCCACACAAAAACAAAAAAAATGAGTGTGAATAGATCAAAATCAGGATACGTCACCAGAAAACAGAAGGCCACAGTTGTGTATACCCTGCAGTCTGCACTGGTCAGCTTTGTGTTCCCTTTCAAAGTACAGCCTCTGTTTAGTACAGCATGCCAAAGGCAGGTCAAGCACACCACTATCTCAGAGAAATAACTCATCGTGAGTGTGGCAGATCTTTGGGATGCACACTCTTTCTCAGCACACTCCCAATTCTCCATCACAGACTTCTGAACCTTGGGATCTCACTCTATGAATCAATTTGTAAAAAACGGTAACAACCCTTTTTCAACATTAACTTAAATTTACTGCTTCCATACACCTTGCTGACAGGAATTCAGTGCCATTGCAATTCGATCTATGACACACAAATATCCACTTTCTTCCAAAGACCATAACTCTCTTAACCTTGCATATGTCATAGTTAGATTACAATGCAAGGTGTACTAACAACTACTAAATTGTTTTAACAATTAACATACACCAGAACAAGGGGCAACATGAAGGAAATTATCTTAACAGCTGCCTCTGAAAAAGGGCTGTGTCCCTTTGATTTAATATCTGATACGGACCATTGATGGAGACAGACAACTGGGCTGTGCAGAGGCTGGATCTGACCTGGGTTGGAAACTTATACTATGAAAATTTCAGCTATGATTAACCACTGTGTTCTAGACAGTGAAACACCACTTAATGCTAAAGCCAAACTAAGGCTCAGTGATTCTTTCTCCCCTGTATGAGAAAGCTATTCTGCTGCCAGAATCTACTCTCAATCAAAGTCCCATGTCCCAAAAGATGTCCAGTACATACAAACATCACTCAAGGCATCACTCACCTACTGGAGATAACGTTTCGTTGCAGTTCCTGACGGTCAAAGGTGGCAAGGGCACAGAGCCCACCATACACAGCCACATTGCTGGGAGATAACAGCTATGGGGAGAAGGAGAGACAGAGAAAGAGCTGTCACTGACTACTAAAATAGCGTAAGGTTGGTATTAAGTATTCTATCCCAGGCCTTTCCTTCATTCAGTGACAGGATTAGTCCTTGTCAAATGCAGTGGAACCACTCAGCTTGCTCTCACCCAGTGTGTGGGGTGAGAGGGCCTGAGCAGTGACACCACTAAGAGAGCAGACATCAATTCCAACAGCTTTTTGATTGAGCTACACAAAAATACAAATATCACAGGTAATTCCTATGCAATCTAGAGTAGAACATTTAGAGAACCCAAGAACAGAGACTTTTTGTTAAACAAACCAACCAACCAGTAAGGTGCACTGCACCACAAACTATACAGGAGTGCTGCAAGAATAACTACAATAACTGAATTTTACAACCTAATACTTAGAAGAGTTACATCCCCCCCAAGACCTGCACAGAGCTCCCTCTTGGTCCTCACCTCAGGGAAATCACAGTGATCAAATGATGCCAACAAGAAGCACTTTGCTGCTTGTTTGTACTTCCGGGCAGCTAGTTCGGCCAAGCCTAGGAACCAGAAAAAGTTAGTCCTTTGTTTATGATAGTATACAAATTAGGAGAAATTGCAAAGTCTGGAAAGTAGGAGAGGCCCCCATATGGTTGCTAGTGCCCTCACTACTGAAGTAAAACAAGATCCTCAGACTGTATCAAGCATCCCTTGAGCTACATTGACTCACACTGGTATCCTCTCTGAAGAAACTCAGGGAGAAAAAAGAGAAGGCAAAAAACAGACAGCAGTTCTATCTCATCAGCTTCATTACATTTTGGATGTCTAGTGCAGAAATAAAAAGTGTGTCAAATTGAGAGAAAAAATAAGCCAAGCCCACACTGTTGCCCAAGAGCCCTATGGACAGCTAACAAGCAGAAAGACAGGCAAACCATCCAGGAAGCTGAAGGACTCGCTCACCTGCTGCACATTTCAGTTTGGTGAGAATTGCTTGTGTCTGGCTGTCTCTTTCTCCTCTTTGCTAAAGCATAAAACAAAGCAGTAGTGAGCAAGCAGTACAAAAACTTTTTTGCTTAAAAGTGTCCTCAGGATATTTTATCCTAATAATTAACTTGCAAATCTCAATGGCAAGATAACTTCATCTTATTTGTCTAGGAAATATGGTAAGAACTGAGGATGGGAAGTATCTGTTTTTACCATGAGTCAGGAATAGTATAGCAGCTGAGGAGGAAGTCTTATATGGAGCAAGTCAAAAAGGGGGAAAGGAAGAAACTGCTTTACAAATTTTGGAAACAGAAAACAAAGGGAAAACTCATGCAAGTTATAAAGCAGGAGCTTACTTCTGCAATCTCTGGTGTAGACTCAGCCTTGCTTACGTAGCTCAGAACATGAGACCAATTCTGGAGGTAGACACTGACCTGTAAAGAGCCAGAAACAACGTGGGGTAGCCATGGATAAACGGGGTTCCTTAGATAAGCCTCATCATTGCAGACACAAGACCAAAGTATGGGGGGACGTCGCAGCAGGTATCAGAAAGAACCAAATACCATTTCCTGCAAACCCTCCTACCTTGATGACATTGAGACACATGTTGATGACATGTTTAGCACTGGTGCAGTAATCACGGGCTCGTGAGTAACACTTGAGAGCATTGCTGAGGTCCCCACAATCCAGATAATGATCACCTAAGTCATCATGGCCTCTCCTGGAGCACAGGAATTAAAACACCAATGAACTGGGTGCTCAGAAAGGGACAAAGTCAGTTTGTTCCAATCAAGTAACTCAACACACTGACCTAAGGCACTGAATGCCTTAGTTAACATCCTGTGTTAAGTGTATGGAGGAGTAAAATGCTCTTTCTTGCTCCAGCAGAGCCTTCTGCATCTCACCTGATACTCTCCTTGATGGAGTTCCCTTTGTAATTTTTCAGATCTGTGTCAAGTTTCTCCAGTTTAAGAAGAGCTTTTTTGCGCGTAGCTTCGACCCAAGCTGTGTCAAGAGGAGGGGGTTCAATTCCACTATCGGGGACAGCATCAGGTGTATTCTGCAGTTCTCTGAAAGCATTTGAACAGAGCTTAATGTTAGGCTGCAAACTTTTCAAAACAGAGGTCTGCTAAGTGCCTGGCACTGCTACCCTAACAAACAGTACTGCATACACAAAATAGATCATCAAAGAGAAAACAAGGATAGTGGGGAAAAAAGAAAAAGATTGATAAGATTTCCAGTACAAACAGTAACATAAGCATCACAGATGTTTACAAAGACTTCTCAAAATTATCCTATGATCTTAGGATGAACGTACTGTCACACACACACGCTAAAGATTCCCAGGGCAAAACAGACAAGAAATCATCAAATAGACATAGCAACAAAAATAATGCAAAGATAAGAAATGTAGATGGATAAGTTCAGGTGTCAATGGCTATTCTCAAGAGTAAACCTGTTGTTAGAGGGGGAAAAAGTTAAAAACAAACCAAAACAAGGCAAAGAGTTAGATTAGGTTTAACTTATGACCACAAAATCATATAAAAGAGGTTTCGTCACCATAATCTACCTAAGGAAAAACAACTATGTTCATTAATATTTGAAGCAGTTGCATGGACTAAACTCAACTCAATATCTACCTGCAGCTTTTAAAACCACTAAGATTTCTGTGCTTTATCTTTTAAAAAAGCATGAGAACCTTATGCCTGAACACACATTCCATTGCTATAAAATTCTAAGGGCAAAGGCAATTTCCATAAGGAACACTGTGGTATTTCATGCAAAGTCTTCCACTGTGGCACATCAGTTTAAACCCTTTCAGGAAAGCTCCCCATATTCCCATGACTTCTTAGTACCTGGTGGCCTCAGACAGCTTTCTGTGGATTTCTTCATACACATCAACATTGAAAGTTCTCTGGACAAATGACAGAGCCATCTTGAGAGCTTCCACCCTCAGCTGTGGACAGTGATCAGCAATGAACTGCAGCCGCTCGATTCGCATCAGCCCACAGTAGCTGGATGCATACTGCTCCAAATCCTGCCAACAAAGCCTGGCCTCAGAAGGTGGAGATGGACACACCGACTCAGGCTACTGCACTGTGACCTGCACAGGTTTTCCTGCAGACCTGACCCCTTCAAGGAGGGCAACACGACTCAGACAAATAAAAAAATCAGGTAAGATTAGTCCATGCTTTCTTCAAACATTAGTAATATCCTCAGAAATATGCAGTATACTACAATTACCTTTTCTAAATTTCAGCCGTCTGTTAAGACTAATCAGCTTTAACTTTTTTCAAAAGGGATTTTTTCCAAATCCTTAAAGGAAGAAGCCACACTCAAGAAATGTCCCCACAGCCCTCAGCAGAGCACGTACCAGTGTGGGGTTCTCCACCACATAGTTGATATCAGGTGAATTTTGCTGATCTTCTTGTGGATCTACGTCAATCTGCATGGGCTCCACTGCACCCTAGAATAGCAAAAGGAGGTCAAAAGTAGCTTATTACATTTGAGCAGGAAACAACTATGTGATTCAACCTATTAAAGACTTGCTTAAATACATGTAAAATTTTAAAAATGAAAAAGCACTCCTCGATCTTTTGATATATTTAGGATTTTTCTCTAGCAACCCACTGGTCAGCACGGCTCAGCGTTCACACAGAACCCTTTATTTGTCTTGGTAGATTATCAAGCAAGAAGGGGTCAATAAATCTGATTTTACAAAGTATGTCAGGTATGCATGCCAAATTCCAAGTGACATTCCATTTCTCTTCCTTGAGCAAGAGCAGGCATTAACACTCAGTTCAAGAAGTTTCAAAAGTCAAAATGTACCAAAAAACCCACCAGAACCTTTCAAAACTGCTTTGCTTTAATGGTTAAAAGTAATATTTTTTGGGGGAAAAAAAGGCAACGACTGCTACACTTTTCAGAATATTAAAAAAAAGAGCAGAATGCAGAATGGCAATTTCACAGTTTCCAACATATACTGAGGAACAATCTGTCTACACTGCAGAGATCTGCCATCAGCTAAACCTATCCTACTGTAGTGTCTGAGCCCGTCTGCTTACGTAGAGCCTCTTTCGCAGAAACACCATAATTTTATTCTCCCAGTATATCCTGCTTTGAACACCCTGAGGACTCACAGCAGTGCAGTGACCTCAGCCCAGCAGCACCGTTACAGCCCCTGTGTGCGTGTCCCAGGCAAGACCAGCCACCCCATGCCACAAACGAAGCTGGTTTGGTGGCAGTAAATTCTTTGCCTCCTCCTAGTTAAAGTGTAATGAACATTCCTCCTAGGAATTATCCATTTAAATTGAGGAAAACCAAGCTGAATGTCTTATAAAGTGCTGATTTAGTGCAGATATTATACAATTATATTGTATATTATATTATTATACACTTGATTTGGTGTAAATTACACAACTAGATCTCAGAAAAGACAGAAATGCCAACCACCTTGCTTCCATCAACACCAAATTGTTTCCATGTTTTTATTAACTTTGCTGTCTGTTAAGAAATCAAAAATTGACTTTTTTTTTTGATTGGGTTGATGGTTTCTTTTTTTGGAGTTTTTCTGTGAGAAGGAACAGGGCAGATCCAGATTTCCTAAGTCTAAAAATTACATTCACCCACAGCCTGTTTATTCTTTCACAAACTGGTACATACCAAATACACACATATCTCGACACTGATGTGGAATTGCCCAAAATCTGAAGCAAAAGCAAGTGAAGCATGTAAAAGTTTGTTTCCTAGTATAATAATCTTTCCATGAAAGAAAGGGAGAGAGGGTGTAAAGAAAAGTTTTATTGTCTAGATCACAACTCAGGAAAAACGTGTATAAAAATAGTTAAGTCACCATAAGTTGAGACCATTACTTTTTCCATTTTTATCTCCCTTATCTTTTTTCTCATATCATAAACACTAAGTGCTAGGGTTGCTTTGTTTAGGCTGTGTAAGCCTACCGTAGTAGGCACCCTGTTGAAGGCACCTCACCAGGCCTTTCACTGGCACTCGAGCTGAAGTCGCCTGCTGTACTCCGGAGGAAGAGGAGTGACCAACTGCTGGAGGGGGGTTCAGTACAGACCTGTCACTGACCAAGAGGCAGAGCTGGAAGCTGAACTGTCCCTCATCCTGTGCCTCACTTCCCACAAGCCCGTGCCCGGACAGAGAACCCGCAAAGGATCGCCTGCGCAGGTACCGAGCGTCACCGACCCCTCAGGGCTCCCAGGGCTCTCCCCTGCACTGCAGACTCTCAAGTCCTCCTCACCGGCAGCCTCACCACGCCCTCCTCGAGAGCCTCGGCCCTGCCTACGGCGCGCACAGCGCGGGACCCGAGCGCGGGGCCGCGGCGGGGACCGCATGACGCTCGGCTGAGGGTTCCTCGTCGCCAACGGCGGCGGAAGGGACACAAGCCGGACCCGACGGAAGCGGCGAGCGAGGGGCCCAGGCTGCCGACAGGCGGCCCCTTAAACCGCGGCAGTCGACGGGGAAGGCCACAGCGCGCCCGCGGCGGCCGGCGGCGGGCCAAGGATGCCCGGACGCTTAGCGCGGGAGGTGCGCGGAAACGGCGGCGGGGCCGGACCGCGCGGTAACGGCCGAGGGGCGGGCGGGCTGCCCCGTTACCTGCAAGTTAAAGACGCTGGAGGGCAGCCGGCAATCGGTCCCTCGGCCGCGCTTCGGCTCCCGCCCCGCCCGCCCGTTTCCGCTTACCGGCCGCGCGCACAACGCCGCCGGCCGCGTCGACAGGTGAAGCTCTTAAAAGTGGCCGCGGCCCGCTCAGGCCCCGCGGCGGCGGCGCGGCAACCTCCGGGGCGGTCCCTGCGCGGGTCCGCCGCCAACCTCCCGGAAGCGCGAAGGCCGCCGCCCCGCGGGGCAATGAGGGCGGCCGCGCCGTTGCGGCGGGGGCCCGCGGGGCTACAGCAGTGAGGCGGCCTTGCCTGGGGCTGCGGCAGGGCGGGGTCCCTGGCTGTCCTGGGCGCCGCCGCCGCTCCTGCTGCTGCTGCTGCCGCGGGGGCAGCGCCGCCGCGCCCGCGCCCCACGCCGCCCGCCGGGCCCAGGCGGCCTCGTCGCACCGGGCCGGGCCCTGGCGAGCTCTAGCGGGCCCGGCGCGGGTGGCCGTGGCCGGAGACCTCGTGGGCAGCCCGCAGCCTGCGCGCAGGGGCCGCCCCGGCGCTGCCGCGGGCCCTGCCAGGGAGGCGCTGGAGCTGAAGGATATCTTCATCGCGGTGAAGACCACGAGGAAGTACCACAAGAGCCGGCTGGACTTGCTCCTCCAAACCTGGATCTCCCAGGCGCGGGGACAGGTGAGGCCTCGCGGCGGGCGGGGACAGGAGCTTCGACCCTGCGTGTGCCAGGGCGGCTGCTGCCCTTTTTCACCGGCTGTTAAAAAGCGTGCGTTAAAAGCAGATTTCCTTTTAGGACTGAGGGACGTCGTCTAAACGATTCCTTCTCTAAAGAGGCGTTGTTGATTAAGCTACTTAGCTGCAGTCTGGCATCGGTGGTCCAAGCAGACGTAATTTGCTGATTTGTGTATGACTGTGAAAAAGGCTACGCAAGAGTGAAAGAACCCTAGTGCTGATGCATCTAAACCACTGTTTTGGACCAAAAAGTTCAGCCGCTTACGTTTTACTGTGGAACAACATAAAAGTAGTTCCCTTGTTTCAGAATTTCAGCCCATTGAAGCATAGTAAGGCAGTTTGGTCTAGCAGATGGGACAGGACAGTGTTGCCACCTGCCACTTCCCACCCTGACTTGCATTCTGTCCTTTTAATCTATTCGGTAGCTGTGGATGACTCCCAGCCAGAGAGAGGAGGTACTACCAAAAAAGATCAAGGTCATTTCTATCTGGAAATTGGTTATCTGTGCCCTGAGACTAGAAGAGTAAGTTATAGGATGCTGTATTGAAATGACAATTTTCTGGCTTGCAATGAAAAAACTTAACAAATAAGGTAGGGGTTGAAGTTGCTGGAGCTGTCTCTCCCCACTCCAGTGGCTACTGTGAAACAAGCCAAAACAAACATAACATTCCGAATTCTGACTGCAACTGAACAAGCTTTAAATTAGTTTCTGAAATTCTCAAATGTAGACACACCATTTTTGTCTCCCACAGACATTTATATTCACAGACTGGGAGGATCAGGAGCTACGCCTGAAAGCAGGTGAGCTGTGTAGCCTAGGTGCATGCTATCTGTTGTGAGTTTTGTTTCTTTCATACTCTTCCTAGAAGTTCTTATTTCATGCTGTATAAGCAGTTAGGGAAGTTAAGATGGAGAAAACTTCTCCCTGCTTGCCCCCTGAGCAGGATGCCTGGAACTTCCTGAATACTGGATTCACCTTTGCATCCACTTTCTCCTTGTTAGTAAGCTTAAGTCTATGTGGTCTTAGAGTTATACTAGGTATTTCCTTTGCACACAGTCTTATGGCACTGTGTATATGCCCTCATTTTTGTGCACTCACACAATTTTATGACCTCTGCAGCTTGCATGCCAGATGCATAACCTGTGAGTCCTGCCTGTCCTGCAGTTTGCTCTCCATGTATGCACTATATGCACCTCAGATGTACAGGATTAGTGCCAAAGGTGCACTTCTTTTGTGGTCCTTTTTGGACTACACGTTTCACAAACCTGAAAGGGCTGGTCTTTATTTTTCCAGGCGATCATATGATCAACACCAACTGTTCTGCTGTCCATACTCGGCAAGCTCTCTGCTGCAAGATGTCTGTGGAATACGATAAATTCCTGGAATCTGGGCAAAAGTAGGTGAAACACATTGTTGTGATTGACTTTGCTTCTTCCAGTTCTGTGTTCACAGGAAACTTGAGTAACCATCTCTGCTCCAGTAAGGAATGCAGTCTTAGCTAAAATGTAGGGATGAGTGCATGGAAGGGAGCACAGCATGAAGCAGTGTTTTTAAACAAGCATCATTTGGAAGGTGGAAAAGATTATGATCTAAAGGGGTTATTCTTTTCAGCCTCTTTACAGAATTAGCATCTGTGGGTGCTTTCAGCTTTCCAAATCTGTAATTTAGGGCAAAAAGAAATACTTCCTGCTCCAAAGCCTGAAAGACTGAGTCTCAGTTGTAGACCTGTAGCTCATTTCTTTGTCCCTGTAACTTCTTGTTCTGTTTCGTGTGAAGATGGTTTTGCCATGTGGACGATGACAACTATGTGAACCCTCGGACTCTCCTGCATCTCCTGTCTGCCTTCTCACACAGCCAGGATGTCTATGTGGGGCGACCGAGTCTAGACCATCCCATCGAAGCAGCTGATCATGTCCAAAGTGATGGATCAGTAAGCAAACTTTACAATTTGTCTGAGAGACATCCTGACTTTCTAAGCCTTTAAAACCTTGACAGTTCATAGGATTCCCCCATAAACCCAAGTGATTTAATCTGCAGGAAGTGAACCCGGCACTGGTCATTTTCGGAGGCAGGGGGCTGGGTGGGTGTCTGTATCTGTTCCTTTACTCATAGATGTTGTGATATCCCTCACACTAAGCTAAGTAGGGCCTCCCCACGTTGACTCTTCCTTTTCCTTTAGGTTATGGGGCAGTGTTCCTTGTTGTAGGGCTTGGGAGTTTGAGTTGGAGTTGAGGGGTTTTTCTGTTTGTTTGTTTTGAGTGCAGTGTCACATTGTCATCATCTTGAACCAACCTCAGATGGGTGACAAAGGCTTTCTAGATAAATAAAGCATTTCTAGTTCCAAATGGTTAGTAGGCTTCCAAGAACTGGAAGCAAACATATCTCAATCACAAGATACACATGCTAAAGGACAAGTCCTAAGCAGGCCACCTGTACCGACAGGTCTAAAGATAAATCAATCCACTAGCCAGAAATTCAGTTATGAAATAGCTTGTTAGGGAAGACTGCACAACAAAATAGTCTCCTTGGAGGTGCAGCCAAGTGTATAATTGACCACCTTTGATATCCTCAGGAGCACTGAGCTGGCTGTGACCCTTGGCTAGAATGACCAGGGGACAGATGGAATCGGGTAGGAGTGGGACTATAGTTTTCCATTTCATGTGTGCTACCTGCAGTATGCTAATTTGATGGTTCATCTGCTGTCTGTTCCAAGATAGAGTTTCATTTGAGAGAACAGCTAGCTAGGCTTTCAGCAGCCTAAACAAACAGGGATTCGTCTGTAGCCTTGTTTTGGCAAGTGCAGTATGTGATATCCAATAGAATTTCAAGTTCCCTTCCCTGCCCAGCCAAATGGGAAAAGCTGATTATCATTAATTACTGTGTGTTTTTTTCTTGTTGCTCTTCAGAAGACAACCGTGAAATTCTGGTTTGCCACAGGTGGAGCAGGGTTCTGTATCAGCAGAGGTCTTGCCTTGAAGATGAGTCCCTGGGCCAGGTAAGCACTGTTCCTAGCTGAGCTCCATTGATAAATGTTTGGGAGGCTTTAAAACACATTTTCTCTTGTCTCCCACACTCTATCTCACAGCCTGGGCAACTTCATCAGTACTGCAGAAAGGGTGCGTCTTCCTGACGACTGCACCATTGGCTACATCATTGAAGGGCTGCTGGAGGTAAAGCTGCTGCACAGCCCGTTGTTCCATTCCCACCTGGAAAATCTGCAGAGACTACAAGGCGAGTCTGTGTTGCAGCAGGTAGGGCTGTGCCTCATGTCTTATCCTTATAATTACACCTCAGTCTGATCAGAAAGAGTACTCTGCATAGATGTAGCACTCTTCAGCAAAGAAGGATGTCTGCAGACTCACTCAGAGCTGTGTTCTGCCCAAGTCCTTCATTTAGGTAAAAAGCACACTTTCATCCTAGCCAACTAGGTCATATGGCTGTCCCCTCCTTTGGGGACACATTATGCTACCTGGAGTCTAAATAGAGTATTTCCCATCTTCTTCTAAGCCCTGACTTTCTGTGAGTGGCAGTAGCAGCAAGTGTAGAAGGAGGCAATGTTTAGTTTGCTAAATAGTCTTCCTGGTTTTGCCTAACAAAGTCTCAGTCTTAATTCATGCTGTTCAAAAAGGCAGCTATAGCAAGTACTTCTTCAATAGCTAAGACAAAGTTAAATGTTCGATCATTTTTAAGAATAATTTGCCTGAACCTCAAGAAAATGAATGTTTCTTAGGAAAAATCAAGTAGTTTTATAATTGCTGGGATATGTTTTTCCTCCTGGGCAGCAGATGGAGCCACAAAGCCATCCAGCAGCGTTGCCTGCCTCATGCTGCTTGGCACCATGAGAGAACGGGAGTGCTTTTTTGCCCCTGCAAGCTGCTTGGTTATATTTTCCTGGCAATTGTATTAGGCAGCAGAAATGTGCACTTGGGGCCAAATTCCACTGTGATGTAATCTCCTTCATGTTAGTGAGTTGGACCGTAGGCCTAATATTGTGTTTCATTGGTGATCACTGGTTCCCTGAGATGGTAACTGCTAACCCGAAATCTGGGAAATGTCCAATTAGAAAGCACCTGAAAATTTCTTAATACAGTGCTTGTGTGGAAGAATAGCACTGAACTGAGGTTCCATACATCTAAATTGTGTTCCAGGTTTTTCACATGGCAGTCCTTTGCATGCCGTTTAACGTGCAAATGTTTCTATTTTCCCTCTATACTAAAACATTGCTATTGCAGACTTCAGGCAATGTCTGGTGAGGATGAACATGTGTTATTTAGTGAAGGTACAGACAGGAGCAGAATTAATGTCCTCACAAAGCTTACAGTGGGAACTCATCCTTCAGGGCAATGCAACTTTCAGATCCTCTGTGTATTCTCCCACATTGCCTTTAGTGCAGTTCAATGCCAACATTGCTTATGTCAAAACTAATGACTGTCCTCCAAATGTGATCCATGTTCAGATTAATCAGCATTCTTGGAGACTTTCTTGGTACCTCGCTAATAACCTTGCTACCTCCACTCTGTTTTTCTGTATTAGTGTTACCATTTTGAAATATTTATTTGTTTTTACAGGTAACCTTGAGTTACGGGGACCCTGAGAACAAACACAATGTCGTGAGTGTGGGAGGAGTGTTTGGCCTTCAGCAAGATCCAACCCGGTGAGTGTCCACTTCCAAAACAAGATCTCGCTACCTTGTTCATGTTTATCATCTGTCAGATGATCAGACTCACTAGTGGGGTTATTTTCTCTTGTCAGCTCTTGTTGCTGTGCTGGAAGTGGGTAAATCCACCCTCTCTGCTCCGTCAGACTGCTGCACACCCAATGCTAGTATGTTCCATGTATGGAGAATTCCAATCTAATACTGTCTTTTTTTTTGCCCCCCATAGGTTTAAATCTGTCCATTGTCTGCTTTATCCTGACACTGTTTGGTGCCCTGCTAAGAAGATGTCATAATTCTTGACCAGCCACTGACACCTGTATATTACCTAGTTTGCAGGAGTTGTGGTGGACTTTTTTGGTGGTTTTATTCTTCTTCTGGGAGACAACCAGTGTTATCTACAAAGGAGATAGACAGACTGTTTAGAAAAGCAATAAGGTGTGGTTTGTTCAGCTGCAGCGTGGAACATTCCAGGGAGAATCTTTGTTCTTTTGTCCGGTGGTTTTTCGTAAGATGACCACAGTGCTGTGTGTACAAGTCACTTCACACTTTCTTCTGATGTCATGTGAACCTGTGCTTGGGCACATCTGAGGCAAATGCAGTACTGGGAGTGAGACCCTTCTTACTGCCCTTAGGGGCTTTTAGAAGCCATTGTCTTGAAGCTGGAGTGCTAGAGCAGTCTGTAGTCCCCATGGTGACAAGAGAGGGGAAGTTTTCACTCATCTTTCTTGGGAACAGAATTATTTAAGAGCTTCTTTGGCCTGCTAGATTAAAACTCCACCCGTGGGCCAGAATAGGGTCTGTTCTTAGATACAGAAATCCTGGAATCACTAAGGTAAACGAGGCTGAAAGCCCTTGTAATGAGAAAACTCTGTGTAAGGGTAAGCTTACTCAGGACTGGATAAGAGTTGCTTACAGTGCACATCCTCCCCTGTTGTCCATGTGTACCTCCTGTGGAGGTGATTGTCAGACCTGGCTCGCCTGCCAACGGAACTGCAGTGGCTGATTATGATGGTGGTCTGCCAGGTCCGAGACTATTCCCTTGATGTTTGATACTGAAGAATATTTGCCAGACAAGATGGTAATCATTCTGCCACATTGCCTGTAGTTGGTCGCATGAGCTGGCACAACTTGGGCTGCCAAAACACGCCCTGTTTCTGAAGCTGTCTGAGAGAGGAGAAATGCTAGATAGCTGCAATGTGCTGAGGAAGGTCTTGATGGTGTCATTTGAGGACCTTTAATTGTATGACCATGGTTACTCCAGCTTCTTCAAATAATCTTCCAATTAACATAAGGTCAAGATCAGTGCTTATTTTTATTCCTTAATGTTTTGATAAATAGTTCATCCAGTCACTTAAAGGAGCACATTATGAATGTGCTCATTCACACAGAGGCAGAAGTTCAGTGCTGTAGCAGTATCATCTGCTGCTGCTTTTTAAAGAAAGTAAACAGTTTTGTAAGTGCAAGGAACGGGGCTCCATATGTTTACTTTCCTGTTAGCCCAGACTTTGGCCATGTGCAATCCCCACCTGACCTGAAGAACAGCATGAAAAATGACTTTGCAAAATCACTGTTCATTCTTTCAAACTCTTCGAAAAATACTTGCTGGTTTAGTGCTAGAATCTAAGGCTGAATTAAGGGGAGAATAATGGAATTACAGTGTATGATCTGGAACTATGATTGCTGGCTAGAATGCAGACCTAGCAGAAGTTTCAGATTTCTAAACAGCTGTGCTCAGCTGTACTGTGGGCTTCAGCTAGTTACTGAACTTCCTGACAAATGCCTGCAGTGTATTCTATGATGCCATTTAGCAAAGGTGTCAGCCTTCTGAAATATACTGTTTCCTGCATTCTGCTTTTTAACACAAAACTTTCAGCTTTTACCTCAGTACTTTGTCCTCTTTGCATGTTCTACTCAGTTCTACTGAGGAAGAAACAAGCTGACTTCTGTTACAGTCCTGCAGTTCCTTCTTATATTTTTCCTTTCTCTCATATGTCCTAAGGTGACTGTGAGGTATGGGAATAAGAATGCTGCAGGGAATTGGCTCAAAATCCAGCCAGCACAGCGACTGTTCCATAACGGGCTGTCAGTGTTACAGGTGTGCCTGGCACAGAAAACAGAGGAGGACTTGAGGAACAGTAGGTTCTGCCTCCTTATTAGATCTTCTGCTGACTAGAACTGAGGCCCCCTGTGGTTTAATGATTGGTCATTAATAGCTCTGGAGATTCCTGGTATCTATATAATTTTTTTAAAACACTTGTTAGGTTCTTCTTTTTAACCTCCTGTAGCAGAAAAATGAAACTTCATGAGCTCTTGAGGCGATTTTGTCTTCAAGCACTGATTCTGAATTCTTCTGTTGGAGCTTTTCTTCCCCTTCCACTGGAAGCAGCCTCTTGTAAGGTAACACAGGCAGCATGGACTGGGTGGCAGTTGTATGGCAAACTGCAGTTAAAAAATTACAACACCTCATACTGATGGCAGCAAAACTAAGTAGAAGTTTCACATTGTGGTCACTGGTCAACCTAAAATAGGTGTGCCAAAGAGGCGGTGCCCTCAAAGTGGGGAGGGTGTTTATGGAACTTAAAAAGGACCATGTTCTCCTGCAAGGCAGTAGGGAACTGTTTGGTGTGTTCAGGCTCCTTCCATGGTTTCTTGTCTTGAGAATACAGTAAGCTGTGTGGATCTATCAGGACGCAGCTTTTTAATAAAACTGCTTTTTCATACATAAAGTGGTTCTACAAAATAAATATTTAAATATGTCAAAGGCTTTGTTTTGTCATGTTTCTTCACATGCGTTCTATACAAAAAATGGACCATAAACCCTCTAATCTGGAAATCTGAAGCCTTCTGTCAGGCTCATGTCATGCCAATGGCCAAAAAGCACGGGAGATAAATTATTTGGGTGGGTGGGAGAGCAAATATGGATGAGAGGAATCCTTCCAAATGATAATTAACAAAGTCAAAAAAATTGAGATAAGGAGGACATTAATTATTGTCATCTTACATCAGCAAATTCGAATGGGTAGAGTAGGCAGGTCTTTTTCATCAGCCGCTAAAAAGCCTGGTTTACTGTGGACGCTCAAGGTGATACTTTAGTGAGACTTAGAGTCAAGAAACTTCACCTCTGCGTGCCTG